GCTGCTGGTCAAATGTGTCTTTCCTAGGAAGCAACGTAGTCAGCAACAACAAGTGTGACATTGCACCAAACTCCCGCTACTGTGCTCAACTCAGTCCACCGTGCTAATCTCCGACTACTGTACTAAAGCGGGGTGTAGGAGGAGGCAGGGGTTCACATCCACAGCCAGACTTTAATTCCAAACTCTTAACAGATTTATTGATTAAAATGATAACCTGCACATAATGGGGTTAAAGTTAAGAGTTGCCTAATGAAGAAGCTTCTCTATCTGGTATCTGTGCCAAGGTTTATTTTCAATTAATGTTCCCTTTAAAAGGTCGCCCATTAACTGGCAGATACTATTAAGTCTAAATATCATAAGAGTACATATAAACACTTAGATATGTTATTAAATCAGAGCTATTGGGCTTAACGCCAAGTCAGAAGGAAGATGAAAAGGCCTGTGTGTGTGTGTTCCAAAGGAGCTCCTGAACAAATGCCTTTTCTCATTCCTAACTCCTTATGCTTTTATTTGTCAGTCAATGGTACCAAGAAAAAGTAGATTTTTGTACAGTTAGCCCTTGATCTGAAACACCATCAAGAAAATCGTTTTATCGTTCATGAACAATAAATATAATAGCCCTTCCATTTAGTATAGCGCCTTTCACTTTGGGAGGACATCTTAAAGCATTTCACAGAATATACTGTAGACTGGAGTGACTGTGTCTTTATGGGAGGATGTGGCAACCAATTTGAGCACAGCAATATCCCACAAACTGCCATAAAATGGTTGACCAATTTTATTTGGGGGATTATTGGGCAAACACCAGGACAAAATCCCTTCTTTTTTGAATATGATATCTTTAATGTCCACCTGATCAGGGAAGACAGGTCCTCTGGTTAACATCCTATCCAACAATACAAGACACCCCCAGCACTGCACTTGGAGTGTCAGCTTAGACTAAAGGATTTCCAGCTCCCGATATGAGACTTGAACCCACAACCTTCTGACTCAAGACAACAAGTGTTACCATTGAGCCAGGCAAACACACATATTGTATTGGTTTGGTCTTCTCTCAAAGCTTGAAAGCAGATTCCAGACATACCAGAAAAACAAGCACTCCTCTTTATTAGAGCATTTAATATTCTGCTCTAAGAACACTATTGCTTTACTGAATGAAACTTTAAATTATCATTTATGTACTTCCGTGCATGTGTGTAAAAATAGGTTGAGTCTTCTTTGTGATACCTGTCTCCAGAGCAAAGACTCAAGGGTGTACATTAAAGCAATGAAGTCCTTTGTGCATGTACCTCTGATTGGATAAATTCTATATTTAACCGTTACTATTGGGATCTACTGTAAACTACAGGGACATGGGGAAAGGGCAGGTCAATCAGATGGAAAGAATTGCTCTCAAAAGAGCCAGCACTGAAATGATGATGATCTTCTGAGCTGTAAATTTCTATTATTTATGGATACATTAAGATTTCTGAATGAGTTTCTTTAAATTATATGAAATTACAGTTACAGTGCAGTTGGAAACCATGCGGTTCGAGCTCCAGGAGATGAGTTTCCACTATATGAATGGTGTGTTTATTGAATCATACTGTCAAATTGAGTATTTAATTTGCAGAATTTCACAATTCTATTCTGAATCTATGAGTGAAACCCCACAATTTATAAATATTTATATATTAGCATGGGTCAATGATGCATTTCTGTGTTAGGAATTGGGGAAAATAAGTTTTCCAATAGCTAAGATGGTAACTATATTTAGCAACTACGCAATTGCGGATTCGTCTGCAGCGTTTCACCCACAAAATACACAGTCTCTCCACTTTACAGTATATTCTGTGAGACATCTCAAAGATGTGATAAGGGCGCTATATCAAATGCAAGAATTATTAGTATTATTATTATTAATACAATAATAATAATAATAATAATCCTCGCATTTGATATAGCGCTTTTCACGTCAGGAGGATGTCCCAAAGCGCTTCACAGAATATACTGTAAAGTGAATTGACTGTATATTTGTGGGCGAACGCGGCAGCCAATTGCGCACAGCAATGTCCCACAAACAAGCCAGAAACAGAAACCATACAGTAGTTTGGTTCAGAGACTTTTAATCATGGTTTGGGTTTCTGCAGCTGTGACCTAAAAGAATACAGGCCAGAAAGGTCCAGGTTAAATATCAGCTGAGCTTGTGTTGCTACAACTAACCTAAGTGCCGCTAGATTTCTGCTCCTGATCCATCTCCAGTGACCCCTGCTGGAAAACACCTATGTGTAGACGCAGGACAGGATCAGATGTGACTGGACTGACTCTCACGACTGAATAGCCTGTCCACACTGACCGTCTGTGCTCACTCGTAAAGAATGATGATTTGGTTGAGGGACCAAGGGCAGATGATGCCCACAGAACTGTAGCATAGCACCAAATAGTGCCTTCAGGAGGAGTGGTGAACACTGGAGGAGGAAAATTAAAAAAAGGGTGCAATATACAATATACATTTGTATAGCCCATTTCACGTCAGAAGGATGTCCCAGAGGGATTCATACCAGCTGATCACCCGAGACAGGGAGCGGGGGCAAGATGACTAAAAGCTCATCCAAAGAGGCAAGTCTTAAGATGGGCTTCAAAAGTGCGGAAGGAGGGGGTGGTGAGATGGAGAGTCTCCAGGATGGAGTCCAGAGAGTGAGGTCAGAACGCCTAATAACCAATGGATGGGCAGATTGGGCCGGGGACACGAAACAGGCAAAAATCAAGGCTAAGAATAAAAAAAAATTCAATTTCAAACCTTTTTGGGCGCCTGTGAATATTTTAAGTTGCTTTAACTTTGCATTTATTGATAAAGCTTCTACTATGAGAGAGCATTTTGTTACTACTACAAAATTTATTTCTTCTTGGGTTATGTGACTACATTACAGTAATTACCATTAAGGTACAGGAACACAGAGGCCGTAAGGAGCAGTCAGCATGAATTTAGAAGCAATAGGTCATGCCTCACAAATCGACTGGAATTCTTAGAGGAGGTAACAGAAATTAGTAAACAAAGGCTATCCAGTAGATATAATTTATTTGGATTTTCAAAAGGCACTTGCTAAAAATTCTGCACCTAAGACTTGTAAACAAGGAAAAAGTCCATAGGATTAAGGACAAATTAGTTATCTGGATTTAAAATTAGCTTAGCAATAGAAAGTAAAAGGTAATGATAAATCGATATGACTGGCTGTGGTGACAACTAGAGATTCATGGAGATTTGTCATGAGCCATAACAACAACAACTTGCATTTATATAGTGTCCCTCACGCATTGTAGTATCTCAGTGCACTTGACAGTGGTGGAGCCTGGCACAGAGGTAGGGCGTGGGGGTGGGTGACCGTAAGTACGGTCGAAGAGGAAGGTGAGCAACTAGAGTCCTGCTCACAATCATAAACAAAATAGAGGAAGATACTTCTCGTAACACTGTATTCATGCTGACTGTAACTTTTTATGGTGATACCAAACATGTGGCCAGATCATTAGCGTAGGAGAAATTGACAGCACTTGAAGGGATCTGGACACGATAAGTGAATGGACTGTGTAAACTGGCAAATTGAATGACTATAAATAAACATTTTCGTATTAAAACATAAAACATAAAACACACGCACATAATGGAGGAAAGGCAAAGACAAAAAAACAAAAAGAATTGGGTTTATTATTGGCCATTCACTGAAATGATTGAGTCAATTTGAGACAGTTATCACAAAGCTAATCATGTATCAGGATGCATCTCAAGGACATTTGATTATGGAGGAAAACATTTTAACTACATAACTCAATTGGAATATTGCCAACTCACAAGACCTCAGCTCCAATGAGATGTAGGATCAGAGCCTGTATCTTGCGAGTTGGTGTGACATACAAGAGTCACCCTGCTGAACATACGATTTACATGCAAGGAACCTTTCTGGCAGATGTGCTCCTCAAGCACTTTTTCAATCACATTGGTGCATAAAGGGATCAGGAAGCAATAACAAGGCCCATTCCAGGACACAGAATTCTTTAAGTTTTAAGAAAACACTTGAATAACTCATAGAATATAAAGTTTGAAAAGGAATATAATTTTATTGTTTAAAAAGCTGAAATCAGGATTGTATTTATAATCAAACTATTTAACTTAAACTGCTCACAGAACAAGAAGTACAAAACAGGCAATTCTAAAGGCTAGAAGATTTGTTCCCCCAGAGATTAACTGATAAGACTCTTATCAAAGTAATTGATATGCTACCTCAGTGAATGCCTTTCCACCAGGTTGAATCAATACGTAGTTCTGGATTGGAACTGAACATCATAAAGATAGATATGTACATAATTCACCAAATGCATTTTCTCATTCCATAATATCTTGTGCCTGTATGCTCCAAAGTATAATGCATCCATAGTGTGGTAACCTTTAAACAGTTTAACCTTCACCAATGCAAAGTATATTGTTCCAAAACTCTCCAGTATTAAAAATGCCATGAAACAACTGAAGAAACACTTTGCAAGAACAAAATTAAGAATTAGAGAATTATGTAGTGACTTCAAAGAAAGCAAGGTATGGTAATGAGAAGGTAATGGACTTTTGATTTAAAAGCGCAGCCTTTGCAGGTCAAAATAATGAGACAGTATCCTTTTGTTGGCCCACAAAGGTTGGCACACGTTAGAAGGTACACTGTGTAGTTTTGATTCAGGATCATTTTGAAATACAGCCGAGATAGGCTCACAAAAAGGATACATTCTCTTTAATGTGACACTGCAGCTTTGAAACTGCTTGCATTGCATGGTTTCAGTAAAAAGGATTTTGTTTTTCGTTCACATTGTGTTCCCGACAGCTAAGGAACCCAGGTCAATTATTCATAAATAAACACTTTGTAATTCTTTAAAACACAGATGACCTGTGGTCCTAAAAGAAACTCAGCAATGTTTCTGAAAAAAGCTGCTGTAAATGTAAGACACAGTTAAAGACATTGAAAAGGCATATGTGGACTTACCGACCCATACAGCTCTCCCTTCTCATTCATTCCGAGGTAGAGTCCACTGTCTACACCACGAATGCTGACCAGCCCCACTGCTATACTAATGAACTCCAGTATACCTGATGGTGATGACAACAATAAGAATCATAAACAAACATGTATGTTTATAATACATAAAAGTGGAAGCACCTATTATATATATATCACTGTAAGAAAAGCTTATCATGGGCTATGGGATCAGAATGAATAACTCCAGTGAGGGGAACAAACATCTATGCTCTCAATGGGGAAACGGCTTCTGAGGAAACGGAGCCTAGGAGACAAATCTAAAGTCTGCTGGGCATGACCACCAAGAGGACAGAATCAGAATCACCTTCATTGGAGAGTGAAAGATGCCTCCTTGAACTGACCACTGTGAGAATTTGCACAAGTCTCTACAAATAGCTTCAGGTCACATGGATATCTTGTACACAGGGACGATTCCTAACTGTCTTAAAGGGAGCGTCCCAAAAAAATGTGTGCACGTCCCGTATGCTGTGAACCTGTCCGCACTCCCCACTAAGGTGGTGGTGGGGGGGGGGGGGATAGGGAGGGGGGCACAAGACCCCCATTGTAACTGGGCGGCAGAACCCCGAGGTTCTGAAAAACTTGGCCTCTCCACCAAAGTGGAGTGTGCAGAGGCCACTCCCTGCCACAGGGGGCCGAATCTGTTGCATCCTGTAAAGGTGTAATAATATGCTGCGTCTTTTTTTCCTGTAACAGGTTTGATACTGTCTGCGATAAGCGTAAATATATATCAACAAATAAATATATATATTTTGTTAAAAAAAACAAATAGCCTTCAGTTGAGACATTCCAAAAACCCTTGTGTGGCTACCAAATGCCCCCTGACAACAACCACTCAGCAGGGGATTCTGGAAAGCCACCCAGAAATATTGAACTAAAAGTAAAATGGCCAATAAGATAGTTGGGAGTTATCTTGTGGCCATTTCGCCCACAAAATATGCAGTCAATTCATTTTAGAGTATGTGAAGCGCTTTGAGATGTCTCGAAGATGTGATAAGGTGATAAATCAAATGCAAGGATTATTATTATCATCATCACAATTTTTTTTCCAAAAATATATCCAATTCTGGAAATGGTACAGCGAGTGTCAGCAGGCTATCTGACCATGGGAAGAGAAGAGGGTTGGAGAGTAGGGATTATAACAGATCCTGTCCTCGCCCAACATCCACACTCACACTCGCACAGACACATACACACACACGCGCACAGACACGTGCATACACGCAGGCACACACGCATACAGACACACACACACACACGCAGGTGCACATGCACTTTCAGGCAGTGATACCGAGTCAGACATAGGAGCATTGTCTGATTTTCTTTCATGGGTAAATTTGGAATCTAACTGCTGCCTCAGCCAAGATCAGCTAAAGCGGAGATCACACCATGACGTACCTAGTTTACACAGCTCAGTTTCATTGGCTTTACCATCTAAGCCATTGGGGAGCTAATGTTACCTTTTCTGTGCCAACCTTGCTGTTATGAATCAACCTTAACAAGGCAGCATTGTAATGTGAGCAAAGGATTAAAATGAAAAAAAATCGCAATGAGATTCCAGCCCAATTGTGCTCAGAGAGATCAGAATCAAGGTCTACAATCAAAAAGCAATTGCAAGGATCTTGCAATCTTACCCCAGGAGACTTGTTTTACCCACAAGGCCTGTGTGGGTAAAATATTCTATTTTTGTCTGTTGAAAGCAGAGGATCAACTGATTGATACTGATGAAGCAATAATTTACAAATAGTAATGCCATAGAAACACTGCAAAGGATTAATTACAACAATCATTTATTCCATCTCCCTTAACAAGCCCGATTATTTCTAAAGAAATTAAGTGATCCAGTAAATAACAAACTGTACTTTGGCCTTTACAGAATCCAATAATTATACATCCCTAAATAATTTTACAAGTGGGCTATTTGTTATGAGTATTTTTATCTCATGTTTCACAGATTGTTTGCGTTCAAAGAATTCAGACAGATAAAATTTGCTGTAATGGCAATCAGGATAATAAGAGTACATGGGGGCATAAGAAGCAGAGTTCCAATGACATCCAAAACTCTGCTCCATTCAGAACTCTATTCTTGCTCCATGTTTCATGTTCTTTCCCCCCACCAGCTTCCACAAGCCTATCATCCCCCTCTTTTGCAACCCCCCTCACTACACTTTCCACTGGCTTCCTAGCCACTAGTGGATCCAGATTATTGTTCTCATGTTCAAAACCCTCCACAATCTTTTCTCCACATTCTTTAATATTTTTCCTTCCCGAGTAGATCCATATCTCCTTCCTAAACATTTCAATTGATTCTTCCTCTATGACCTTCTGAAGCACTGTGCTCCATAACCTCAGATATGTTTGCTTGCAGTCCAACACTGCAAGCAGTAAAAGACATAACTGATGGCAACTGACCACAGAACTGTTGAAGTACTTTTCTAGAATGTTCATTTTTCATGTAGAAAGATGTGTCAAGAATTGATGAGGAGAATGATTATTGGGAGGATAATCTTATTAAAAGGTTTGGGTGCCTACCCAAAGCACATCAGTGAAATGGGCCTTAAATTATATTAATGTGACACCCTCCTTCCCTAACCACTGCTGGAGCTGAAATCTTCAGATTTCAAAATGGTTCAGTGTGCCAAGACATCTCAGATGACTTTACAATTACTCTGATCCAAAATAAAGTCAAATGGTAAAAAACTGTTCAGACTTCTCTCCAACATAACTTTGGTGTTGAGATCAAAATCTATAGAAATTTATTTCCAATATCCAATGCAAACTCTTCTAAAGTAGACAACTATGTAAATCCCCTAAAAAAATATCATGGGTTCTCCTGGCAAACCATGGAACATTTTGTAAATGTCAACCTGTACAACTAGAGTTATCAGGTAAAGTATGTTATAAGTATAGTGGCTGCGTCAATTTTAAAATCAAACCAGTATGTTAAACATCACTGCGGGGCTCCACTGTGTAACAGCCAATGTGCTTTGAAAGTGGAAAAAAGCTATAGCAAAGATTTTTTTATTTACAGGGAAAAATAATTCAGTCTGATCCATATCAATGTATGGCCAGTTTCCAGCCTCACACATTTTAAACAAGATATGCTATTCTAAAATAACAGAGGAATTAAAGCAAGAATCTAGCTCAATAGCTTATCTTCAAGGAACGCCAAGCAGGTTTTTTGAATCTTTTGATGCCTCAACAATAATTGTGATCCTGCAATCTCAAGGCAGTTCTCAAAAATTCATTTCAAGGAACAAATATTCAGTAATTCTCCTCCACCATTATTGACCCATAACTGCTTTCATCGATATTAATGTTCAGTGCGTGGCAATTACTAACATAGAAGCCAGAGGTATGTCAGGCCAACTTGTGGGAACTCTGTTCGAGTTCCCATGAAACAGTGTGACATGCTCCCATTTACCAATTCCCCACTTCATTTCTTTTATAATAATAATTTGGTCACTCAATCCACGACTGTTGTGACCAATTAGCTGCTGCCAATTTCGTCCACAAAATATACAGTCATTTCACTTTACACTGTATTCTGTGAAGCGCTTTGAGACGTCTCAACCACATGATAAGGCACTATATCAAATGCAACATTATTATCTTATTAAAAATCCCTTTATGTCACAGCAACAACATATTTAAGCGCTCTGAGACACTACCCTGCATGGAGTGCACTATATAAGTGCAAGTGGTTGTTGTTGTATTTACATAGTGCCCTTCACCTACGATAATATCTTGAAGGATTTATAGAAATAAAAGGATTTCTTCATAAGCAAATAAAAATTCCTTAAGGAAATAAGGATTTTCTTAACAAGCAAATAGGGATTCCTTAACAAAGATATTAGTGGACCCCTCCCACACACACACACACCTCCCTCCCCACCCCCACCCCCAATTCTTCACGAGTGTAAAACAATCTCATAAACAAAAGGCACAAAGAATGTGCTTGCTAAGTGAAAAACATGATAAATGACAATTTCAGAAACATCAGAACACTGTGTGTGAATTATAAGGACATCATGTAGCCTCTTGCAAGGCTTTACTGAATTTTCAGCACCAGACCTTATATGAGCAGTTATTTTGACCAAAACATAATAATTCCCAGTGACAGTGTCATGTGTCCCCCTTTAGACTGACAAATATGTACATATAATACAACTGTGAATGTTTGGATGTCCTAACGAACAGAACAGTGATATTCTAACATCACTCCTGAGGGAGTAAACATTCCAATTAAAAACAACTGTTATTCAAGGAATTTGGAAAATGTCAGCTTTGGATCAAACTATCACAATATGTTCACTGTTCCTGTCTATTGGCATTTGAAGAATGAAACTACAGTTTTATGGTTTAAACGTTCAAATTATTAAGCCAATATTAACAGTTTTAATATACTGTATTAATAATACACACAGCTAGTTACTTCACTTAAGTGCTATCCTACCCAGAGAAATTTCCAGCTATGTAAATTATGTCCTCAACCATAAATAATATGATGGCACAGGGACACTCAACTGAAGAAAGAAGCGCTAAGCCTAGCAAATTCTCCCACACGATTGCAAGGTCACGTTCATACACATTCCAGTGCTTTGATCCCAGTTCTGCATCCAATCCACATTAATGGATTTACAATACTTGCTTCTCAATGAAGCAACCCCAGGATGGATTATTATCCTCGTCATGGTTTCGTTGCTGTGTGCTTTCATGGGTCAGATGTTGTGTTCATGTGTACATAGGGCATGCATATAGATCTAACAATATCAAGTGCAATGCAATAGATCAAGTGAACAAACAGCAGAAAAGTACAATAGAATGGCACTGACGTGGCCATAAATGAGATGACCATTTCCTTTTGCAGGGCTTCAAATTGCTCCCGACGTTGAATCTACACTGATGTGGGTTGCCGGATGCTGGCACTGCTTCAGAACGCAGAATTCAATGAGTTTACATTGGCAATCGGAAGCAAGATTTATTAATCAGATGTCAGGTCCAGTACAACCTACAGCTCCAAGAGGAACTGCGGTCTAAGGTGACCTTGCAC